TACACTCAACATTTATTTAATTCTCTCGCATTCCATTTGCCAACTGAATAATTGTCGCCAATTTCTGTTACCGCGACGAGACAAAATGGCGGCCAGCAAATGAGTTAATTACGTTTCTAAATTTATTTGCATTCGATGAGCGGCATATTCATTCAGCATCAAGTACTTCACTTTATACCTCAAATTTATAGCCAGAAGCGATTTGGGCCATCAATTGGCCAATTCGCTTTGGAGTCCTGAACAGGGCAAGGGAAATGGAGTTTTATTAATTACAATCAATTATAAAGAAAATACAATCAATTTACAGTTAGAGAAGTTAAGGTTGAAGAGTGGGAGCCACTTTTAAATATCACATCGATTGGTTTACTGCAAAGTAATCAGAGCACATTTATTTTACAAATAGAAAATTTATTTATTTATTTATTTATTGAGAAAGATAAATTAACAACATTTAGTTGTTCATAAAAATAGTTGGGGCTACTATTTTGATGACTCTCACGCTTACAGCCGCAGCTTTGGAACTTGTCTACAAATTCATTTACATATATATATACAAATATATAGTGGACAGACTAGCTTAATCATAAAATATATATTTGCTAAATGAGATTCCAGAATTTAGTCTGTTTATCCATTTGTGAGTTTAATGATTTTTTTCAAATGATTAATTTCAGAAGAAACATAATAGAATTTTAAGCCAAAAGGAAATTAAAAAATTAACAAAAACAAGAAAGAGCTTATTAATATAAAAACGCTTTCAATCGCATTCCGAAAATTAAATAAGTCAATCGAAAAATTCGTATATATAGATATTATCAACTTATCAACTAGTATAATCGTCGTGCCCATTACGGGTCTGAGTAGCGCGCAGTCGTTGTCAGTTTTATGAGGGAAATCGTAGTAGGTTGATGGCAAATGCTTTCAGTCAGGTTAATTTACGGACCGATGTCCTGGCAGCTGTGAATAGAGTGGAGCGTTTGGCTGAGGGTCCGTCTGGGGTTTTGTTTATGCTGCTGTTTAATGTCCTTTTGGTCGCTTTGGTCCTTTTTCGCCTGTAACAAATTGCGTCTGCAAATGTGACTCACTTTGCCGAGGCCCCATCTTGACTTCTCCCTGCCCCACTCTGTGGAGCACTTGCTGCTGTCGCTCGTTTACCGCATCGTAATGTCACTTCAACAAATCACACCAACTTGCCCCATAAATTCTATTGTTAATTCCAATTAGGCAGTTTGCCGCTCAGCTGTCCTTGGCCATTGTTGTTTTTTGGCTAAAGCGAGACGCAAGAGTTGTTAATTGATTTTCTATGAAGCAGCCGCTTGTCAGCCTTAAAGCTTGTAATTACTATAAGTAAATTTTATGCTCAAAATAAAAACTTAAATTGATCAACTGTTAAGCTAGCTATATATAGACTATATATATTTATATATATTTCCTTTTTGGCCTTAAAAACGTGACCCTCTGGACAATGCTCTGTATGAATTTCGTGAAATGATTTGTGTGTAGCATAAGAGAGCACGCATATAAAATGGCAACAGCTATTTAAGCCCAGCCAATGCAGCTGGTGGACCGAACCAACTGTTGGCCAGGTGAACGGATCGGGCGTGGGCGTGTGCGAGGGGCCATTCGCCACTTTAGGGCGACAATTTATGGGTGCTTTTTTCAGGTGCAGGTATGCGCTTTTCCGGCCAAGCACTTAATTGATGTTGTGTCGCGTAAATTATAAACAAAACAAAAATTAAAGTGGACTCCATGCCGTGGCTTGAGCCGAACAGTGGCGAGCCGAGCCTCACTTGGCGCGGTGCGGCTTGGTCTGGGTTCTCTCGGAAGCACTGGCGGATGCGGAAATGCTTTCATCGCAAGTGGTGTCGTCGCTCATAAAAAGCGCACAGCCATTGGCCAAGCCCTCGCTATAGGAGTCACACACACACACAGTTGGATATATGACTGTGGTCAAGGGGCTAAGCAGGCGGCCGCTGCGCGTCTGTGAGTGAGGTCAAGCGTGAAAGTGGAGCTACTTGCAGCCGGATATACTCCTGACCTGTCCTGCACTGTTCTGGCCTGGCTTTGCCTTCGCAGCTCCCGCTGCGCATAAATTTAGCATTTTTGCATTCGCAAAGTGTCCTCCAAAGGGTCATCTATGCACGCTTTGCCCATGTGTGGCGTCCCTTTATATTTCTGCTTAATTCTAATATGATTTTATATGGAAAATACTCTGCTTAGCTTAACTGATTTGTCTAGCATTTTTATAAAATATTCTATAATCTTTGCTACTTGCGTTGACGTCTCAACTAATTGCATGCAGCACTTCTCTGAGAGCTTCTGGAAAGCTGCATAAATTGTTAGGGAGTTGAGTCGGGCGAATGAAAACACTCTAATGAGTCACTCTTCAGTTAAGTAATGCAGTCATAGTCTAATATAGCAAGTATTCAAGCATGAGCTTCGAAATAATTAAGATAGTTAGATAGTAATTCTGAGATGCCACACAGAACAGAGTCTTAAGAACTTAAGATAAAGATACAAGTCAAAATATAAGCATTGGCAGCACCTGTTGGGCACCTATAATAAGTCTTTTCTCTTCCCTTTCAATAACAGTAAATAAGTTTGTTTTTGTATAATTTTTTTAATATTCTTAAAGATTATTAAAAAATATAATGACTGAATAAAAATAATTTGTATATATTTATTTTTGCGTTATTTAGCGCTTTTTGATCTTGTTGCTATCAATTAGTCAGTTTAAATAATTGCTTAAAAATAAATATGTTTAATTAAGACCGTTCTAAAAAGGTTCTACAAATAAGAATGTTTCTAGATAAGTGGCTCTAAAATTATCTTTATTTTCATATTCCGCGATACCTGTCAAGGCATGGAAGAACTTTCAAATTTGGACAGTTTCAAGTTTGCTTATAGCTGAACTGATTAGAAATTAATGGACCATGTCCCAGGCTCGGCAAATCATACAACTGATAGGTATAGGGAAACAGGTGCAGAACTTATCAAGTTCTTCGTGTGTGTTATATAGAAGCCTATTTATCCAATTCCAATTCCAATTGGACAATCTCAAAGTTGTTCATTTGGGTCTACAATATTATAGTCTAAAACTTAATATTATTTATATATAAATTAGCATTAACATTTGACTAATACAATCATTAATATTTCTTTTTCCAACGATTGAGCATCTATTGGAGAACCTTTTGGAAGTTGCGATTAAATTTAAGAGGCGACGAATTAAACTTTGAAATCAGAAATTATGCGCAATTCGAGAGACAATTGCCGGCTGGGCACATAAAACAAAGCACTGGCAGTGGCACGACCACAGCAAGTGGCTTGATTGGGTTGCTGGTTGGCGGTGGGGCGGAGGATAACAGAATGCGCAGGACAACGGGCAGAGCAAGTGCTACTCAAATCTGTGCGTCTGCACGCATTACAAACGAATTACGAGACTCGCTGGGCAATTGCAGTTCATTGTTATTTAATATGTCGTCGTTGTCCTTGTCGTTGAGGTCGACAACGAGCATGGCTGGAAATTATACTTTATGGAGACTCAACAGCAACAGCAGCAGAGGCAGTTGGAACAACAATCCAGGACGCAGAACGGCATGACACTGATTGCGATATAAACGATTGTCAACGTAAACGTATCCAAGTGGATTATTGCCTCATGCCAATTATCATATCAACGATACACAGCAGTCCGGCCAGCTCATGTACGGTAAATGGCCAGGACACACACAGCCATATACGGAGCGACAGACAGCGAGGCAGCTGCTGCACTGCCAATTGCCAATGGCCGCCCACAGCGCCGCCCACGCCACTTGACGAGGCGTTGATGCTGTCGTTGCCTGCGCAACGTGCTCCACCTTCAGCATCCTTGCGGCCATGTCAGGTGGGTTGAGCTCTAGCCAAATTGCATGTACGATTTTAAATGGATTTTGATTGTTTATGACAATTCGACGAGCTGACTGGCCAGCCCTCTGCTGGCCACTGATAATGCGCCATTTAAATAATAACACCGAAAGCTCTGGCCCATCTATCCAAGTGTCCATCGGTCCATCGGTCCATCGGTCCACCTGTTCAGCTGCCCATCTTCAACTGAATGTGCGTCGTTCTGCCATTGGATGTTGCCTCAATTGCTGCAATTTGTGCATTTTAAGCCTGCCACATTTGCATAATGAACAGCATCACAGTTTTTGGTATTTTATATCAGTATTTATTTGGTATTTTTTGAGTGTTTTGACATTTGAAATTTTGGAGACATTTTAGGGCTTAGCATATGGGAATGAAATCACAATCGAACAAGAATGTTTCGCAACTTGAAATTAGTTTTTGTTTTTTTAATGAATAATTTTAAATTATAATTGATATATATATTATTATAATTTGTATTTGCCAAATAATTTAAAATAAATTTGCCCAAAGGTCCCATGTTAGAAATGATCTATTTTTCTACTTTAAGATTTAAGAAGAGATTTATATTTTATTTTTTTTCTCTCTTAAATATAAATATAAAAATACAAAAAAATATAATTGTAGTATATATATTATATATATATATAATAATTATAATTATATAATAATTTTAAAACTCAAAAGGTTTTTTAAGTGCTGAAATAGTAAACGAATAAATTGAATAGATATCAATTTTTAGACTATTTAAGACAAACGAGTTGCCAGCTAACATAATTATCTATTATAAGGCTAGCTACTAAGCAATCGTCTTAAACAACATAAGAGCTATAGACTGGGCTGTCATTTGAGCTCGTATAACGATAATTTGCAAATCAGTTTTTAAACTCAAAGCACATTCTTAAATCGAATTATAATAATTTTATTCTGCGGCAAATACTCCTTCGCATATAAGACTACAAAAATTATATTATTTATTATTATATTTTTACTCAAACTAATTATTACGTTAATTTTCTAGTCACATTAAATGGTTAAAAACTAAAAAATGTGATCCCAAGCAAAAGAACGGGGAAAGAAAAAAGTCAAGAACAAAAATTCACTGGATTGGATTCTTCTTTCTACTAGCAACATTTTATTTCAGAGACCTCGAGTCTGGCTTCTCCTGTTTCATTTCGAGTAGTTTGCGCTGATTCTCCTTGAACTGCTCGATGGGATCCTCGAACTGACGATAATAATGCAAGACTTCGCGCACATCGTCCATCTAAGGGAGACAAAAGACGATTACTGATTGGTGAGACAAATATATACAGTATAATTCTGACAACCTTGTGATCGGCAATGAGTCCCAAAAACGCAGCCAGGTCGAAGAGCTGCACATCATCGTCGTTGCCCACCCAGCGGGTAATGGCAAAGATGTTGTCCGGATGCAGCGGAACAGCGCAACGATTCCAGTCGATGACAATAACGCGACGAAGATTGCGATTGAGATGGTTTAGGTTCTTGATGTGCTGCCCATCCAGCAGCTGGGTGGCGCCTCGCACCAGTCGATAGCATATGTAACCGTTCGGATCGAGTGCATCCAGTATGGGAAATGCCGTCATGCCCTGCTCGGCCGTATATACGACTATTTCAAAGTGCTTGCTGCACTGCCGCAGAAAGTGATCAACGCCGGGACGTTTCTTGAAGCGCCAGCCCGTCTGGTACGTCCAATCGGGATGTACCAGGATGTCGCGCATCTCCAGAACCAGAGTGTAGGGCGGCTGTATGTACGGCGCACAGAGTACGTCCGGCAGCAGCTTGGTGGTCGTTGGCTCCTCCAACATCTTTTGGTAGTAGTGCAACGAGTGCCACATCCGCTGCACATATTGTTGCAGCACTGGCAGTGAGCTCAGCTCATCCTCGATGCTGCGTCCAAACTGATCCTGCTCGGGCTTGCCCAGCTCATAGATCGCCCACAGCACGATGCTGCAGAGGCTGCCCAGAAAGACGGTGTAGCCGAGGAACCGACGCGTGCGTTTCCCACCGAAGCTAAGCTTGGGCGAGTCGGTTGACTTTACCAGAGACTTACGACTTTTGTCACACATCGATCGTTGTGTGTTATTTGGCTTGGCACCAGAACAAATCTCACGTCTGTAGCTCGACTCGAATGTTGAGAATCTGCTGCACTCATTGTACGACGGATTGCACCTGAGCAGCCTCCTGCATGGCCGTGGGTAGCCGGCTCTGGTGCTCACAAGCTGCTGGACCACTCGCAGCCATGTCTCCCAACTAAGCATACCTGTTCACAAAAATACTGAAATTTGAGAGAATTTCTGTCTGCGTATAAACATATTTATCAGTCTGTTATGTGAGCACATTCTGACTCTGATTTTATATATATATTAAAACATTTATGTGTGTATCGATATATATGCTGTTTGCTCTAACATGTGACAAGGCAAGTCTTACTGTGTTTCTTAGAGATTTTGCTAACTCTCTGGGACACAATCGCGATCAGTCGTTCGACCTGTAAAGACGTGAATTCGAACAGCCTTCGCTTAAGCTCTACTGCTGCAGAGTTCTAAAAATAGAACTTTGCGGTGCATTCTTCAACGCAACAGCAACAAAAACCGCACACGCAGCGTTTTCTTATCGCTTGCTTCCGCGTAACTCAATTGCTTTAATTGCAATTTACGAAATTTCGTCGCTTGGCGCGAGTGCGCCTGCACTCAAAAGCACAATCCGCGATGACATCTAATGTCAATAACCTCGCTACAGCTGTAAAGGTAAATGCAGAAATGCAAGCCCAGCTTAACGTTGTGATGGCAAATAGGCAAGCCTCCATCATGCCAATAAACTCAAAAATAGATATCGCCTCCGTGCAAGGCATCACTAACAACAAAAACACGAAACGTAAACAGCCAAATTCACCAAAAACCATCAAGAAAAGGCTCATCTTCGACGAACCAAGCACCAGCAATGCAGCATTAATATCAGAAAATCGATTTTCACTGCTCGTAGAAGAAGATGAAGACTACAGCGAATCACCTGTAGCTCCAGAAGCCCCAGTATTGACCGACCAGCAAACTACTCCGAAACCTCGTCCGCCCCCCATATGGTGTCCAAACATCAAGTCTGTGGCCCTACTTCAACAGATAATAGATAAAGTAATTGATGCTAAATCATACGTAATTAAGCCAAAGAAGAATAACATAGGTGTATTAACCCAATGCAGTGAGGACTATCGCAGAGTTATAGACCACTTTACTAAGCTGGAATTGGAGTTCCACTGCTACCAGCTTAAGGAGGACAAACCATATAGAGTCGTGTTCAAAGGGCTTCACTCCAGCACTGATACAACACTAATTAAAAAGGAATTGGAAACCAAAGGCCACACAATTACAAATGTGCACAACCCACTGAGCCGTATGGACAAAACACCGCTAAATATATTTTTTGTTGACGTGGCTCAGGCCCCCAACAACAAAGAAATTTTGGACATTCGAGTTGTCTGCAGGCAACGCTGCACAGTGGAACTGCCAAGAAGATACAACGACCTGACACAATGCCATCGCTGTCAAGAATTTGGACACACACAACGCTACTGCCACAAAGCTCCCAGATGTGTGCGTTGCGCCGGGAAACACGCATCCAAAGACTGCACCCGCGAAAAGGACCAGGCACCAACTTGTGTGCACTGTGAGTTACAGCACCCAGCCAACTATAAGGGCTGCCAAGTATACAAGCGGTTGCGCAAATTGCAATCCCCAGCACAAAAAAGGAGTCCCACACAAACACCGTCTACGGGTCCGAGTACTGCTTCCGAAATTACAAGGCCCCGGAGCATTACCCAAGCCACGAGCTTTGCAACGCCTATTAGTGGTGTTTCTTACGCACAGGCCGCTAGAGGTGGACCGTCAAATAAGAATACCACAAGTGACACTTTGTTCACTGAAATGCTTCAGCAACAACAACGTCAGTTTGACGCAATTAATGCCGAGCTCAAAGCGATGCGAGAAGTACAATCCCAACAAGCAACCATGCTAAACAGTTTAATGGCCATCATAACCAAGCTTGCCTACAAATAATGGCTTTACGTGTGGGTATCTGGAACGCCAATGGCCTGAGAAACAAGACTCAGGAACTGGCTGCGTTTCTCTCACAAGAAAACATAGATATAATGTTAATAACAGAAACTCATGAGTGCCCCACTACACAAATTTTCGGATACGAACACTATCAGGCTCATGGTGAAGGAGCAAACTGCTTTGGTGGATCCTCAATCCTCATACGAGCAACAATACCGCATACACCTTTACTGCCAATTTGCAACGCAACAATGCAGGTCTCAGCCATCACCCTGCCTACGTCTATTGGAGCGATCGAAGTTGCGTCAATTTATCTTCCGCCAAACACTGGTCTGTGTGATCATCACATGGAACAGGTTCTAGGCCAAAGGTTGAATAAGACCCTCATCGGCGGCGACTGGAATGGATGGCACCCATTTTGGGGAAGCAATAGTGCGAATCGTCGCGGAGAAGTCATATTTGAGGCGATTCAAAACTTACAATTCAGCATATTGGCGACTGGAGCCCCCACCCGTTACCCAATTAATGGACACAGGCCCTCGGCAATCGACTTCGCTGTCTACAAAGGCATCTGTGACCGGCAATTGACCATTGAAGAATCCTTGGACCTATCCTCTGACCACCTGCCACTAATAGTCACAATCCACGCGCAGCCACAGCCCTTGCCCATTAGGAAACAACTACTGCCAGCAGGATCAGATTTAGGAGTCTTTAGGCGCGAGCTCCATTACTCTTTGCACATAGAAATGGAACTTAACACTCCTGAAGACGTGGACTACGCAGCAAACAAACTGCAGGAAGAAATAGTCAAAGCTGCGCACCAAGCCGCCCCACCATCTTGCCAAACAAGACAACAGTCTCCGTACAACATCCCCCTCACCTTGGAGGCCCAACACCTACTAATACACAAAAGATGGGCCAGGAGACGCTGGTTAAGATTACGCACGCCTGATGCCAAATCCATGTACAACGAAGCCACGAGGCATCTTAAAGCTGCTCTCGCCCTGCTTCAAAAGAGGTGTATCAGCGATGCGCTGGTACGAGCTGAATCGCCCACTGACGCAGAGTTTCAATTATGGAAATTTACAAGAAAGCTCAAACGGCAGCCAATACGACGTCATCCCATTCGGAGCATTTCTGGTTCCTGGCACATTGGAGACGAAGCTCAAGCTGAGGCTTTTGCAAACCACCTTCAAGACCAATTCACGCCGGTGATTACCGCAGAGGCCTCAGAAATCGAAGCAACAGAAGACATCGTTCTCTCGCCCCTCCCAGCTGAAGACCAGATAACTGGATGTACAAAAGAAGAGGTTCTTGAACACATCAGAAGAGTGAAGGCAAAAAAATCCCCTGGATATGATCTAATAAACGGCAGAGTCCTTAGAGCACTGCCTGACTCCACCATAGACTACATAACTATGGTGTACAACGCCATGCTCCGCATCCGGCACTTTCCAGCCTGCTGGAAGCGCGCCGTGATTGTGATGATTCCTAAGCCTGGCAAACCCGTGGGAGAAATTGAGTCGTACAGACCAATTAGCCTGTTGCCAGTACTCTCCAAAATATTCGAAAGAATATTTCTGGAACGAGTACTGACACATCTGGGACGCCAGGAGGCCATTCCAAACCATCAGTTTGGCTTCAGGAGACAGCATGGAACACCGGAACAGGTTCACAGAGTTGTGCACCATATCCTTGGAGCCTTTGAAGAAAAGATGTACTGCTCTGCCGTCTTTTTAGACATCAAACAGGCGTTTGATCGAGTTTGGCACCTGGGACTGCTGCAGAAAGTGAGGACCACCCTTCCAGCCCCATTTTTCGCGTTGCTATCCTCATACCTTATTGGAAGAACCTTCCAAGTGTCAAGGGGGCAAACAGTATCCTTGACTAGACCAATTATGGCTGGAGTACCACAGGGTAGTGTTCTAGGCCCAACACTTTATACTTTATTCACAGGAGATATGCCAACTCCCGAGCCAAATATAGGAAGTACAGATGCAGTACTCATAGCGACCTATGCAGATGACACCGCCATCTTATCACGTCACGTATCTGCGCAAGAAGCTTCAGACTCACTACAAAAATATCTGGACTCTTTCGGACGCTGGGCAAAACGGTGGTGTATCACCATTAATGCACAAAAGTCTGTACATACTACCTTCGCCACTAGAAGAGGAGATTGCCCAAGCGTTGCATTGGGGCCCACTATTCCCAAAGCCTCAAAAGTAAAGTACCTTGGTATCACTCTTGACAGAAGGCTGACTTTTAAAGCGCACATAAGTCAAGTAACCTCAAAATGCAAAAGCAAGCTAAAAACCCTCGACTGGATGCTGAGAGCTTCAAGCAAGTTGTCTTACAGCAGCAAGGCCGCCATCTACAAGGCAATAGTTGTCCCAACCTTCGTATATGGTATCTCTCTATGGGGCTCCTCGGCGAAGACTACAAGGAACAAAATTCAGACCCTGCAGAATAAAGCACTACGCAGATGGACTGGAGCCAGCTGGTTTGTAAGAAACTCAGTCTTACATAGGGATTTAGCAATTCCCACAGTTGCTGAACTCATTGGGCGACACAGTTCAAGATACGCGGACAGACTTGCAGCGCATCCTAACCATCTCGCAAGCAACCTGGCTATAAACAACAATAGGCGAAGACTGAAGAGATTGCATCCTCTAGACAATATTAGAACTAATTAAGATAGTAGCTACAAGTGCAGAATAATTGGCATATCTGCCCTCCCATTAGTTAAGGTTTAGAGCTAAATGCGCTATAGAGTCTAAGACAATAAGCTGCAACAAAATAAAGAAATAAAAACGAAAAAAAAAAAAAAAAAAAAAAAAACTCTCTGGGAGAGTCATCGAGTGAACTATAGAAACTGAGACGTTTACATTGTTAAGGCGCCGTGGAGGGATTTTCTATTGCTGATGGGGTAAGTCGTTGTTATACTAAAGCCTGAGTTCCTAGCTAGCTTGAGGCCTTTATTTCTTATGCTAGTTGAATGATATATTTATGCAGTGCTAATCGAATGCCAAAGTCAAACTTTCACGCTTTTATTTCTTTGATAGAATCATCCTATATATAGTTTATAGTTTCTATGATTTGGAATTAGATCAATACAGTAACCTTAGCATAAGTTGTTTATGCATCTGATGCTTATTAATTAACTTCAGTCTTAGTTAAAAGTATTTACACAACAAACTTGTTACGCATATCGATTACACTTAACTTAATTTATGCTGAAGCAAAAAACTGCACAAGATAATATTAAAAATGAATAATTTATTAAATTAATAAATTAAATTATTAAAAGCAAATTAAATGATGCACATCAGCTGGCAAATTTTTTTAAGCCCATCAAAATAATTTACATAATGCCAATTTTTATTTATTTCAGTTTCAATAATAAAAAAGTGATTAAGAAAATGTTTTTTATCACTATTAATTGAAATTCTAGTTATAATTATAATCAATTTTAAGAGTCGCTTAAAAGAATCGCGGACTTTTGGCTAGGGCTGCTGTAACTAGTCAATTCCCTAAACTAATGATTCACAGAAATAAATTTTTTTCAGATTGTCTTAACTATATGAAGCTGGCTAAACCGACCTTTTGGAAATGCCTTCATTTACTTAGTAAATTTCAGTAACTCAAACTTTTTTATAACATTTATGGCATCAAGAAATCACTTTACTTAGGAAACGAAACTTCAATCGATTCGTTTCACAAAAAGCTTCAATCACAAAGTTCTGATTAGTTCAGGGTAGTTGAGGGAGAACTTAGTGTCCTTTTTGTCAGACATGACAGACTATTTTGTTGATGTTTATCCACATCGAACAATATTGGACCAAGATAAGAAGCCCTATTATGGTATTCCGAAGGTTCGCTGCCAGTTTGTGCCGCTGAAGTACCGCAACCTGAGAGGGCACTGGCAGTACCGTCTGCGCCCAAAGCCTGCGATCTGCGAGAAACCCAATTGTGTGAAACCGAAATGGCAAACACTGCAGCACAATGGACCATTGTTTCCCGCCGACTATGAGCGGTTGCCGGCCGACGTGCAGTTCTACTACGACAACTGCCCCATCGAGCTGACCGAACAGGCCGAAGAGGTGGCCACGTTCTATGCGAAGCTTATGAAGACCGCGTTCGTTCAGCTCAAGGACTTCAATCAGAATTTCTTCAACGAGTTCCGCAGCTGCCTGAGCGAAGAGCAGCGCCGCTATATCACATGCTTCGGGCTGTGCAATTTTAAGGATATAAGTCGTTATTTGGAGAGCCGACCAGAATACGAAAAGCTGCGCTTAGCTAAGGAGAGGAAACATAGCTATTGCTATGTTGACGGAGAGCGCCGTCGAATCAGCCAGATTCGCATCAGCCGGCCGGGACTGCGCTGTCCCCGACATGGCATCAGCAAGACTATGGGCTTGATAAGGCCCCGAGTGCTGCCCGAAGATGTTGTGATAAATTGCGGGGAGGACGAGGCGCCACCAGAGCCGCCATGCGGGCATCTTTGGAGCCAGGTGGTGCACGATCGGAGTGTTAGATGGGTATACTCCTGGTATGATATCGGCACGGGCAGCACACAATACGCCTATCCGTGCAATGATAGCTGCCGGCGATCTCGTCCACCTCGTCGCGAACACTTGGACACGGCGCGTCGTCTCCAGCAGCATCTGCGTCAAATACGCCGCGAATACCAAAACCTTCAGTACTCGGATAGCTGGCTGGTGCGACAGCGCAGCGTGGCCCTCTACTGCATCGACACGCTGGCCATGAGCTGCGACGCCGAGGAGCTGCCGTCCGAAATTACCGTGTGTGGCCTGTGCGTGCAGAATATCAAGCTCTATCCGCGGCTGGGCGTGCAGCGCAATGTGCTGCAGTTGCTGGCCGGCAGCAGAGAGAGCAAGCAGCGTGAGTACAGACGGATAAGCATCCAGCCCGAGGTCTTCTACAATCTGAACGTCTTCATTTGTGGCAAGCAGCCAGATGAGTTGGTCTTCGAGGAGCTAACCAGCCAAAAGGTGAACGAACACCTCGACTATCTGATGGATGGTCTTACTTCGAATATATTTCGCATATGCAATGCCTCGCGGATGCTGGAGGAACGCTTGATTCGGATTCCGCTGAAAGCCACACTACACCACGAGCTGATGGCCTACAACAGAGCCCTCAAAGACATTCATTTATTCTGCGGCGTTCGCCATCGCAGAGTCGATCCCTTGCCAGCCTTGAAGCGGCCCTGTCGTCTACCTTGGCACAGGGCAGCGGAGCAGCGCTCACTCAGATCCATTCGTCTGCAGACAAAGCCACTCGTTGAGGCAACCATCTACTACCTAGATCCACGGATAACCATCGCCTGGTGCATGAGGCGCAACATTCCACTCAACTCCATCTACACAAGCTATGCGATACGCAAAAAACTCCTCTGGGCCACGCAAAGCACCTCAAGGTATTATTCTTTTTAAGTTTGCTGTTCTTTTATATTTCTATTACTAGATTTATATTTTTTATTAAACTGCGTTTTCATTTGGCTGGTTTTAAATGCATTATTTTATAGTTGTCAAAGGTATCTACAGCTAGTTGATATGCTATTCTAGCTCTTATAGCCTTAAGATATTATTTGAAATTCAAGCCTCAAATGCATTCGAATTTGATTAAAGAATCAGCTTGATATAGCGAAGGTATTTGAGATGCTGCGTGGAACGTTGAAATCATTTGTTAAAATACAATTGCCTAAAGGCAGAAAGACTGGAGTTGTTTTAGACACATTTGATGAGCAAGTTTCTCTCCTAATTTTATTTTACATTTATCACTCCAAAACCAATTAAAAAATGTATCTTATTTACCTACAATTGATGTTGGAGAAAGAGGGAAAATAAGTCAAAAAAGAATTGCGTAGAATAATCGGGGCATTCCAAGTCGAAATGATGTATTCATAGCACTGAACAAATGAATCAAGAGGTGAAAATAAGTCAATTTATGCCTCGCCTTCTAGTCTTTATTGAGACATAATAAAAATTTTGTAAGTGATGCAACTAGATAGACTCATCTATTGAATTCAAATTTAAATTAAAATTTTCATCGCTCAAAGTAAAATTTGTTATAAATTGTCAATAAAGTATTTTAGATATACCTTAGATATTAAAATATTTCTGCAAGCTATCTATAACAGCATGTTACACAAGGTAGACTACAGTAATATATATATCCATATATAGTAAACTCAAGGCCAATATCGTTACTATATGCTTCGACATATTGTAAAAACACGATTTGATAGCGAGTGCGACTCGAGTTGAACGCAATTCATGGCCAAAAGCATAAAAAGAGCGAGCCTCGCACGTTCTTCAGTTTTCGTTGTTTTTCCGGTCTCAGGGGCGTCGCATGTAAATCTACTTTACGGGTCGTTGTTGCCGGGAAGTCAGCGCGAATTGCGTGAGGCGTGCAGCTAAATCGCCGATGAAAGCCACAAGTGGAATGGCGAAGGGAATGGGGCATGCCACATGTGCCGGCGAGCTGAGCTGTAGGCGTGTTGCGATTTTAATTTTTAACGAGAAGCAAGAGCAGCAGCAGCAGCAACAGCAGCTTGGCCGTGTTGGGATCTGCGTTGTTGCTGTTTTACATTTGTGATAACCAGGCGTGACATTGCGGCCGGCACTTGATGGAAATGGCAGCGAAGGCGGCTCAAAACAAAACGCTTTTCATTACTCGAACCCCCGAAGGGCCAGGTGAGCGGAAATTTGTGCGTTGTGGAAAAACTAATTTTGATTTTAATTAAATATTTATGAGTGGCAGCGGAGCGGCTGGGCGGTGCGGCAGGACTTGAACTAATCCAGCCAAACGCGGCAGCAAGAAATCCACTAATAAAATAACCAAATAGCTGGCAAATAACTTCTACTTATCACTCAGGGCGCATCAGTGAGAAAATTAAAGTATTATCCCTGGAGACTTGGTTGCGTGCTACAGCTCGAACCCCTTGACCAGCGCCCGAACTACTGACATATTTATATATGGGCCAAGGGTCTTACCTTGCCGCAGAGTGTGAGGTGTGCGTGTGTGCGGGGGTGTGGGTGTGTGTGCTGCTCGTTTATTCGATCAAAAGTTACGAGCTCATCTTAGATTGGACATTAAATGGACACTAAAATATTTTCCATCTGCACGCAGCATCCGGAGCCATCGAGACCCTCGGCGAGCGAGAAACAAGCGAAATAAATGTCATGAAACAACTCATTGACAGGCACATAAGGACACTGGTTTTATGGTCCACAGATATGACCAAAATATATGATTACCATGTGTCCAGCCACATGCGAGCTCGTAAATAGGCATTTTCTCTGCTTTAGCTCTCGACTCTCGGACAACAGCAATAGCAACAACCACCCAACCACCCAACCACCCAGCCATCCACTCATCCACATATATTGAGCCCGACACTCTCCCATTCCATAGTTTTGGCTGGGGCTTCTGCTGGCCATTTGGTGACTACTTTTTCTTGATTTTTGTTGCCTTTCGCTTGGTTATTTACCAAGTGATCCAGGTGGGACACACACACACTCGCAGAGCACTGTCACAGCCTCGGTCAGTCGTAAAAATCAAAATAAAATGAAACTTATGCGTGATGTTTGCCTTTTCTCATTGGACTCTGCAATACCCCCTTAAATTCTCTATGGCTTTTTATGCTCGCCCTGTGCTAGAACTGGGCATGAGAAGGCATCGCGATGGCTCAATTGCTCGTATTACCAATAATACAAACTATACTTAAATAGACAGCTTACGAGCGGGTTCATTTTGGTTGCCTTTTGTCCAAATGTTTCTATAAAAAAGTCACCTGCTATAGCGCTCTTTGATTCTTTCATATTTATAGGAATTAAATTCAAATTTGTGTAATTTTGTATTTTTTTTATTCTTGTGCAAATTTAATCATTTTTAATATGTAGAAAAATTAATTTAGAAAATTGTATATAAGAATTTTTATTTTGAACTTAATAAAATAATTTCCAATTATTTTATTATAAAATTTAAAACCAATTCGAATATGTAAACAATTTATTTTTCAGAAGCTGCTTTCAAATTTTTGATTTCAAAATTCTTTCAAATTCTGCAGATAGCGAAAACTTCACAAAAATTAGAAAATATAGATAATTGTTTAAAAGCTCGTACTTTATTCATATTTGAAAAATATTTGTTTTGCTATATATTAAAAGAGGAAAACCTTAAGCTGGGTTAATGCATTAGGAAATTCAAATTGAAAATTCTGCGGATTGACGAAGCTCCAAATTAACAAACTTACAGATTGATTAAGCTCCTGATGGAGAAAGCTACATATTGACAAGCTTCTAGATTAAGAATTGACAAGTCTTCTGATAAGTCTTCTGATTCAGAAATCTTTAAGTCAAAAAGTGGGTTTTTATTTGAGACATATGAAACTATTTTAATGTTTTAATTTAGATTCTGAATCCTGCATTAGGCTTGACATTTTCCGCTCTATGCCTAGAGCTAATCAACTTATTTAGTTGATCTGTTAATGAAACATTTGCTACATTTTGTTGTAGCACAACAACCACAAAGATGTTCGATTGGAATGTATGAGCATGATTTTATCGCGTGTTGCAGATCCACAAAGCCCTGCCTGCATCATTCAAGGCAGAGCTATAGGAATGGGCATGGAAATGGAGCCCGGGCATGAATGGATACAGGACATCCAGTTGAGTATAAATTCGCTATTTATGCAGTCTGAGTGTATGCTGATTTCATCTCATCTCATTCGGCGTTACGTGAGCTGATTACGTTAGTCATGCGCGATTGCCGAGTTTGCCGGAGTCAGGACGATAGAGCTTTGGTTCCGTGACCAGAGCTAACACACGCACACACATCTATATATAGTGTGTGTGAGTGTGTGTGTCTGTGTGTGTTTGGGTCTGGGTCATTTTGGCCGTGTTCAGTTGCTTAGCGCCAAATGAAATTGTGCCAACTGGCGACTTGATGAGAATTTCATTTGGTGCGGATTTTTATGACTTTCGAGACAGAGAGAGAGAGAGAGAGAGAGCGTGTGGCTGAATGCTGTGAAAGTTCCACTAAATGATTTCGCATTATTTGTCTCTCTCTCACTCACTCTCTCTGTTCGCTTGCCATAAAAAGTCAATGCATGCGAAATGCTTTCGTGATATGCTCAAACTAGTCCTCCAATGGTCGTGGTCGTGGCCTTAAGTGAGGCCAGGTTAGGTTCTGTTCGGTCTTCGGTTTATTTGTTTATTCATTGAATGGGGTCGAATCGTAAAAATTATGTTGATGAGTCATCAGTAAATGGCATTTATTTTATTGTCACCTATGCGACCCCACACAGATATCTTCAATTATGACCAACTCCGAAGATGATTCGATTCTATTTTATATACCAATGCCGGGGCAATGCTTGTGGAATATGAAAGAGCCGAGCGTTTTGATGCACGGACTACGAATGAGTCTTGTGTTTGTATTATTAATGATGCCTCCTCTATCAACATCCATCCGAGTAGCTGTCACATATGCTTCGCTTCCCATTGCAGTGTCCTCAAAGTGGACCATTCATTAGATCACTCTTACAACTCGCATCGTTAATGGCTGTAATAAGTGTGTGTTTCTTCTTTTTAATTTACTACAATTTAATGGCATTTATTTCAGTGTATTCGACGGCCACTCTTTCAGTGACAGCGCCACAAATTGGGAGTCAACGAGTTCCCATGCCATCAACCACTGTTCGACAAGCAGGTAAATGCTGAGGTCTGGACACAGCAGCTAATAGGGTAAGCCCATGGGGCACTATGGAATGTAGTAGGATATATTTGAGAGAAGTCTAGTTTTGGTCTGATTTGACTAATCACAGCGTTTACATATGAAAAGTTTTCAAAAGAGAAATTCGTATGGGAACCTAGTTCTAAATCCTGACGTTCAGCTTTGCTTAGAGATGTTTGATGAAGCTGAAGCTTTATATATAATTTTCACATATTTCTGAGTACTATTTCAGATTAACATTTCTATTTATATGTATATATAAATATATATATATATAAAATTTAATAAAATTGATCAAAAACCATTTTTTGGAAAAAGTCTGAAAAAATAATCTTTGGCAAAAATTTTTTTTACTTTTTCTACACTTTTCATTTTGAAAAATTATTCGGAAAAGAGTTCTGTTTTAATAAGTACACATCACAAATTTCTGGCAAAGATTTTCCATTAAATATGTTCGTGTGCTCTGAGCATGTCTTCATATAATTTTTAGTTTTTTTTTTCATCTAAATTTTAATGGAATTATATAATGTTTTTTAAAAAAATCGTGCGTTAAAAATGGGTGTTAAATAAATCATAAATTTCAACTTCATATATATTTTTATATTGCAAATAAATCTAAATAAGGGGAAAAATATATTGTAAATAAATGTTATAGTAGTAAACATTTTTTCTTGGTTTGATTTGAGTCATTCCAGATTTTATTAGAAATGATTATATGTATTCTAAAGCTTTGCAGTAACGTGAGAATTATATAGATTTATTCGTCGGTAGCAAAAATATCATTTCTGTAAAGTATAAAGCGTTTTGCATATTTCCCAAATATAACAAATTTTTAATTTTAAAAAATATATTTTCTTAAAGAATATAAAAATATACAATATTCTTAAAAGCTATGTGTGTATATATAATTAAATTAAATACAAAAATAATGTAGTGAAAACTTGTTTTTCTTTAGTTGAACGTTGGTTGGAAACAGTTTTAAATTCGCATTAGTTGGAAATTTGTGCCACTGTGCGGTTGCGTTGTGCGCTCCCCAACCGAATTGGGTAACAACCGCATTTGAGATTTGATTGGATTAGAACAAGCTTTTGGCGGCGCACGAATTGTTGATGTGTCCGCTGTGGTTGATTGGAATTGGAGGCCCCAAACCAGCTGGTAGTCCTATCCCCCCCCCTTTGGCTACACAGTGTTGACATGCCGCGGTGGCAACATACAGGCAACAGCAGACAGAGGATGGAGCTGTATTCATATTTTTGGCAATCGATGTCCAGGCAGGTCCTCAGCCTGGTTGGGCAATTAGAAACGTTCACTGTTTTGAAATTTTCCAATTTTTCGTGATTGCCCAGAGGCAGGCGGAGCGCTGGGCTGGGCTGACTGTGTTAATTTCTGGTTCTGGTTCTGATACTAGTTCCTGGCTTTGCTGAATTGTTTCTGTGCCGAAGTGATTAGGCTGGGCGTGCTAATCTATTGGACAGCGGCCACGTCTAATGCCATGCCTTCGATCTCTTTGCATATATCACTGAATTGCACTGCAGAATCGAGGAGAGATGAAGTCAGTCTATGCGGCAACACTCTGTAACCTCTTAACTCACTCAGTTTGCTGACATCCAGGTTGACTTCGAAATTGTGCAGCTCATACAGATCCAATTTGTCTATGTTCGTCTCTTCGGCCACCTTCACCTGCTCTAGGACTGGTTTGTTGACTGCAGATTGCGTTGCGGGCAAAGCGGGTGATATGGCTGCCTTTGTCATCGTCTCTTCCATAGGCCTTGGCACCTGTTGCGTCTGCAGGCTGTTGAGATGAGCGAATTTCTTGTACCTGCGCCTCATGTATTGCTGCCAATCGAATTTCTTGGGCTTGGACTTGCTAGCAGGCTCCGTGAAGGGTACTCTCACTGGGGCCGTGTCATTCAGGCTCATATACTGCACTCGCTTCTCACGCTGGTGCTCGCTGAGGGATTGTTCGTCAATCTGTTTGATTTGCTTCTCCAGCTGATTGGCCTTCTCCACGTCGTTGCAGTCCACGGCCATGTCGCGCTCCATGATGAGGCACACCTTGCGGTAGGCGGCGCTCACGGGCTTCTGCCCGGCTCGTCGCTTGGTCTGCACCATCAGCTCGACGTCGCCCTCGGTGAACGCGTAGTTGGTGGCCTTTTCGATGTCCTTTTCCTTTTTGTCAATGCTCTTCACGCTGGGCAAGGGCTGAGCATCGCGCTGGCAGGCATCCAGCCAGAAGATGAACTCGTTGTTTATCACCGGCTGATTGGACACGACATCCATTTGGAAGCTGCGCAGATGGCTGCCATGCTGCAGCTGCAGCTTGAGCTTTGTGCGATGATTGCCCAACAGGTACTCCTGCTCGATGGGTTCGACGGCCACGATGCGGGTCAAGCGATAGATGGCTGGCTGGTTGTTGGGTATGCCGCTCAGGCTAATGCGAACAAAGCAGCCGACGACGGTCTGCTCGAAGATCGGCTTGTCGAGGAAGCTCTCCAGCTGGGTGCGTGTGAGCAGCGCCTTGCTGAGCTCCTTCAAAGAGCTGACCAACGTCTCCGGCTCACTGTTTGGACTGCTGGACTCTATGTAGTCCTCATCATCTGTGCTGCCACTTGACTCATCAGAGTAAACATCTCGGGCCTTCAGCTTCAACTTTTTGCTATCTACATGCTTGGGTGTGTCGCCCCTAGCCTGATCAGACTCGTGCATCTGTACCTGTAGCTGAACCGGCTCCTGCCCTCGTTGCTGTGGCTGTTCCTGCAGCAACTCCTGCTCTCGCTCTGGGTCCTGCTCCTCAGCTGTAACGTGCTTGCATTCGTAGTCATCCTTAGTTTTCTTGCTGTTGCGCTGCGCCACCAGACGATCGATGGCGCTGCGCCGTTTGTCCGCCGCGCGCTGGGCCTCCAGGTTGAGGCGCCGCGTGCTGGAGCGCTCCTTCAGGGCCACTGCGATGTCTGGCAGTGCACTGGAACTATCCACTGCTCCACTGTGCTTCTCTTTAGACAGCAAGAAGCACTTGATGCCCCACTTGTACAGCAGCTCCTCCCGCTTCAGGCTACGCTCATACAGCTCGCTCTCTCGCTCCAGCTCGCTGAGCGACTCCAGTCTTGCCCGATCCGCCGCATCGCCCAACAAGTTGTCGTCGTAGCCATCAGTGAACTGGCCCAGCGTTTGTACCGACTGTGTCGGATGTATTGGTCGCACATCACATGCATCCACATCCGGCAACTCGCCATCTTCCAGGTCTTCCGTGAAGCCCAGATGACGTTTTCGACTCTTCAAATTAAGCATGGGGAATTTTTTTCTTTGGTTGCAAGAGAAGAGTATGAAAAATGTTTTAAAAATTATGAAAAAATATATAATACAAAAAATTACCTTCTTCCCGATTTCGTTGAAAAATCAAGCAAATATTTAGCAAACGCTGCAGAGAAAAATTGTTATTTTTATATATTTATTTTTTTTTCGTTTTTTTTTCGGCAATTTTAAAATATTAAAAATATATATTAAAGGAATTTTCGGCCACACAATTATGGCAATTATAAATAAAATATTTTTTAGCACTTGGAAACTCAAACTAGCGACCAGATGATTTTCTGAGCATACAAGAACCCAGCACAATAAATGTAAAATACTTTTTCCACTAACCACTAACCGAGCTGTTTGTTCAACAATGGCAGTCAGCCGAATGAGTTAATAGAAAACGCCAGTTCTCATACAAAATATACATGTTTCTTTAAAAAAAAAAGGAAAAAAAAATTATTTTCATTTCAAAGCCTACTTAAAACGAAAAATTCTATTTGCTTTTTCTTTTTTAATTTGACATAAGACTCGGAGAGCGCGAAGTGAAGCTGATTGCTGAAGCCAATTGCAGTCTTGGTAGATGTGATTCAGCTATCTGCGCAGATTTTGAATAGTCTTTTTTAGATGTGGCTCAAAGTGCGAGATTTATCCAACAAAAATTTCTGTTAACTTTTATTCCAATTGAACAGCAACAACAATATCGCAATTTGCATATATTCATGTCAAATTATCTGTAAGACACTCCTGTTGTTTAGCGATTTCAATATCATTTATTTATTTTTCTAACTCTCTTAAAATATAAATTTAAAAATATATTAGTTTTCAAATATATATATTAAAATTGATAAAAAAATATATATTAAGTAAATTATTTATTATTTATTATTTAAACTTGAGAATGATCAGCTTTTTCTTCAGCTCTTAAATTGAGTGAATATTAGTTACTTCATATAACCAAATTCTCATTTTTTTATTCATGAACTTTTATGATTGGTTTTAGAAGAACTCATTTTATTTTATTATATATATTATAATATATATATAAAGTATAGCAGAATCTAGTTTTCTTTTTCATTTACAGATGTGCCAGCTTAGCGAGCGTATTGGACTTGTTGATCATTACAATTATATAAGATAGGGTATATCAGTCTTCCTATTAATCATGTTTTACAGTTTTACAATTATACTAAATAAATTCTCCATCAACCTATTCATCATTAAAAAAACATTAGCCACTATACTCATTAGCTAGTCTAGCGAACGATTGCTGCGATAAAATTTATATAAATATACTGAATATCTTTTACACAACATAAGAAAATATTTCAGTAAAAGTGCTTAAAAAGTTAATAAATCAATTAAAATTGAATGGGATTAGTGCACCTAAAGTCTAGCAACGTTTTTTTAGCTGAGGCCAAGTGGAACAGTCAGCGAGCTGTATCCCAAGTCGTGACTTTAGAGCGCCTTCTAACCGGGCATTGGTCGTGCGACGAGGCAGGAATGCTGCTAACCATCAGCGTCCGGGAATCAGAGCTAAGCCCGCACAATGATCATTGGATATGAAACCGAAGCTGGATACAAGTTCGCTGGGCTGTGCGGCACTGCAGCCAGCACGATTTGGCGAAGCCACAATTTCAGGTTTGCCTAGCCGTGAACACGTTCAACATGAACGGCGATTAGTTGCATTTGTTTACGAGTATGGATTTCGGATTTGTCTCCGGCTGCGCCTGTTGCCATTTCCCATCTGCCACTGCCACTGCCATTGCGGCGTAATGGCCGCCAGCCGTAACTTATTGCATCGTGGCGTGCGAGTGTCCACTGTATGTGAATGTGCACCAAAGGGGGTTGGTCAGCCAGACTATCCTGGACAGGACTAGTGCCAGGTGGGTCGTCCGTATGGGAGCGGATGGGGCGGGGCAGATGCCAGCTTTCCTCAATATGGATGTGTGATTTCGTTTTCTTGGACTACAGCCGGTTGGACTTTATCCACATTGTAAAGTAGACATTATGTTGATGCGAATCTCTTGCCGACTATACCGACTACTTTTGTTCACATATCGCGCTTGGGACATCAGCAGCGACCCGGCCAACACGGCGATAATATCCCTGAAATTATTTTCAGTTACCGCGTGTGGGTGTCCATTGGCAGCGGCCTTTGTTTTATTGTTATTGTTACGTTTGCTGGGCCATTGTCGTGATGTCCTTTCGGACTCTGTCTGTGTCTCAGGCTCAGTCCTGGCTCCGGTCACATTAGTGGTAGATGGATACTTTGCACTGTCCGCTGTCCACTGTCCGCTGTCCGGTGTCCTTTTTGGGTTACTTTATGTTATATCTCTCACATTTTTCCAAAGCTGCGCACTTGCAATTATACAACACACGAGTACAGCGGACACATTTTTGGGGTTGTCCCACGAGCCGGACACGTTTGGGTGTTTGCTTTTGATTTTCGCATATTGGCGCTACAAACTAATGGCTTCACTAACGATTGCAACCGTTGTCCTTAATGGCATCCTTTCGGCCATCACGCGCATCCCGTTTGCTGTCAATTTGCTGTGGTCCCGTCTGCTCCCCACTCTCAACTCCAGCTCTCAACTCCCTTGCCACTGTTCATTCGTTTCGCCTTTGATTTAATATTAAGTTGATGGCAAAACAAGCTTTTTCTCTTCAGATTTCTTCTGCATTTAAGTAATTGGAAATTAGCTTGCATTGTTTAGTAGAAAAATAGATGGGCTAGGGAGAGAAATAGCTAAAGAAGTTGTTGATGCTGATTATGTTCCGTAGCTACATTTAGACCATGTCTAGGACTAATATTTAATGACTTGGTTCAATATGTGGTAAGCTATTTGGTCAAGATCAGTGCGAGTGTTGGCCTCGAGCTCTTCTCAAGAATTGTTGGCATAAGTTAAGTACGGAATGTTGCCTCGGAGAAAGTATTCGAGATATCTCAGGGAAGTCTGAAGATGCAATTCTAAGATAGAGTACATGAAATATTGAGGAAGTGTAGGTTATTGTATTTATACTATGCTGCCTAATCAGTATTGGGAATTTGTATTTGAATAATAAAATCTTACAAAGATGTTCTCTATAGATATATTCGTATATGTTATAAAGATAACTCTGTACTTGTTGCTAATTTAAAAAGTTTTAAAGTTGACAAAAAATTAAAAAATTCGATTTTTCATGACGCTCTTTTAAATAAGCATTTAATTGATATAGAATATAATTTTAAATTTAAATAAATAAACTAGAAATTGCTTAACCTTGCTTCAGTTGCCCATCTCTCTACATTCGATTTCTTCTAACCGACTGACGATTGTTTGCCTCGCAGCTAAGCCCCAAGTATGGTAGCCCGAGCTACTTGTGGTCAAATCAAAATCGTACAAATTTATTGTTAATAGAAAAAAGGATCGACCGGATGAGGCACGCACTTAGCCAACTGCCTCGCATGGCTGTGTTTGGCAAGCTGAGCCGCGATGCCTATCTGCCGGAGGTGGGCACTGGACACTCGTAAACATTTCGAATCATACGTTTGCGATATCGAAAAATAATCTCGCAGCGGAAATGGCATATTTAAAAGGCGAAAGGATTCCTGCGATTTAACTTATAAAACGAAGATGGCCCGAGCCATATGCCGGAGTGCCGCATGGTGACAATGCTCACTTCCAGGGCGCCTTGAATGGCCAGCACTTTGGGGGATTTTTAGTGTTTATTGCCGTAGATTAGTTTGTTTATTGTAATCCTCGTTATAAATTAAGCGAAACTTGCGCTTAGCAAACTCAACGGGACCAACGGGCCAAAGGGTTGCCCGGCCAACTTGGTGAGTTGCTTGCGCCACCCCTTTGGGTGCTCGGCTCCTTGGCTCTATAAGCTCGTATTAATTCGCCGCATATTTCCCCAAAGGCATCGAATGAACTTTTCTGAGATAATTGCTGCAAATAGTTTACGACCGCAGCCGATAATGCCATAGTCCAATGGAATTTTATGTAACTATAAAAAAATGGAATTTCTTTTTGCTTTTGATTTTTTAAGGGATTTTAAGAATTTAAATAAGCGAATGGGCTCCGCTGTTAGGCTCGGGGTTTTAAAATTGTAATTAAAATATTGTTAAAACTAAATAAAAAATAAATTAACATTTTAGATTTAAGTTCATATGCGAAGAGTTGCTTCTCTTGTCAACTGCTATGGCATCAATCATATAGCAAAGAGCTGACTGAATGCCAGGTGTAACTCATTGATTCGCAGCTCATTCCCCCATTCGGTATTATCATTTGCTTAGCTGATGAATTCCTGAGCTCTTTCCCCCAACTACAACATTGGCTGCTGCCCAAAATCTTTGTGGCTTTAATTATCATTCGCTTTAATATAGTTATATCTACGCAGATGAGTTCACAAAACCTAGTCTTAATGCTAAACATATTCGTAATAAAAATATTAAGTAACTTCAGCAGTTGGCGCTTATTTGGCTTTATACAATTTGAACATATGTGAGTCAAGTTTTATGCAAATTGATTTGGCAAAAACTTTTCATTTTGCCTGAGCATCGAATCTGGTTAGATAAATATATGCAGTTGGCTTGCTAAATAAGAAAATTGCAAAATATGAGTATGTGTGTCTCTCTCTGTGTGTGTGTGTATTTTGTAATATGAAAATATGACAGCAGCTGTTGCATGTTTCTATTTCTATTTCTGGTTTTTGCGTTCGATTCGTTACGCTTGAGTCCAAAAATTCATATTGCATAGCGCAAGGCGCGGCTGTTCAATAATTCCCAGAAAAACGAGAAAAAAACTAATAAGCCAGGTGAGCTGAGTACGTGGAGTAAGAGGAGTAGCAGCAGCGGCAGCAGCAGGGGGCGGGTGCAGTTGGCACTCTGATGTTTGCATAAAATTTTGGGCACGATGCTGAAATGACAAAACCCCATTAAGAATTACAGTTGTCTGTGCTCGTAACGCGCTTTGTCCTATTTGTATGTTATTTCAATGCCTTTTAATACCCTGTAAATGTAGAGTGGTGCATGTGGTGTAGATGGATCAGATAGGAAGCCATGATAGCTGACATCAAGGCCTCAGATGGCAGGCAGTCACATTTTAGCATTTATTTTGATTTTGAAAGTGTGGCAGAAATAATTAGATAAAAGTATGAAATAATTGCGTATAAAATATTTAAAAATATATAATAAATAGGTAAGAAAAATACATATAAAATATAGAAAAATCTTAGATTAAATTAATGTTGCAAAGAATTTTAAAAAGTAAATTCAAATTTTTTGCATTCTAAAAACTTTTGAATAAAACTTTGCAGAAAACAATATTGAGTTTTGAAGATCTGAATTGTAATAGATCTCTCTAATGTAGTGTCTTGAACTCACCACATCTATGTAATCCATAGCCCATTTGTAGGGTATATCAGTGCTGCGATCCACTGTCGAGTGCTGCTTATATGTATTTGGAGCTGCTTGTGGAGCTAGTGTATTTGGCTTTTTCATAGAGTGCGCGTCTAATTGCATTTTAAAATTGCGACACCATAAAATGTGCTTACGGTATAAATAATTATAACGGCATTTGTCGCAACAAACAGCAGAGTCGAACTCCCCAGAGCTGGAGCCGTAGCCATAGCCGTAGCCGTAGCCGAGTGTCGCAATGATTTTCGTTTGTCAGGATGAGAATGAGGCCACAGGCAGAGGCAGTGGCAGAGGCAGTGGCAGTGACTGCGGCAGTGAATGGAAAGGATGCAGCAGTCAGTTGGCTTTCAGTTGTTGTCGCATCTCTTGGATATTGCATGAGCTTTGTTACACAGCGCTGCGACCCCGACCCCGATCCCGTCCGCGACTCGACTCTACTTTCATGTTCTGCAATGGAACCAGCGCCGCGATTAACGTGAGCTGCATATTTCCAGCTAATTTTCTAATTAAAATGGTATTTATGCATTTTTCAGTTTCGAGTCCGTATTAAACCCAGAACCGTAAGCGCAGCAGACAGCACTAACAATGTTGAAACGAAGTGCCTAGATAATGAGACGTAAACTCATAAAACTGTTTGCATATGCAATGCACGAGGCGCTCATAGATAAGTCAAAAGTTAAGATCAGCTAATGCCTCTGTGAGATAAAGTATTACATCTATGAGCAGCTTTCGATTAGAACAAAGGTAACACGATCTGTAGCTTGTAAAAACGTTTATAATTTAATATAAAATCAAGACATGTGGGAAATTCGACTGAGATAGAGTTAGTATCGGAATCTTGAGAGTCGAAAAGGTTTTAGTGCAAGCGAGCACTGCCCTTCTGATGGCTTTCGACTTTAATCTGTTTGGCAAATTCAAAAAGACTACACAACTTTTCCATGCGATTAGTTTCGAGGCTCACAATCCAAGAGATAAACAAACTTAGTGCTATAAGTAGATAACTGTGGATGGCCTGGAGCGTTTGGTCATCTGTATCAATGTGGCTATTGAGAAGGCTTAGGGTGATCATCTCTATGTTGGACCAGAAGGCAATGAGACAAACTTCGCCCATAAACACAGTCAGCAAGAGCTCCACGATGAACTTGGCTAAGATCGACAATTGGCTACAGTCAAAGGGGATTAATTCATCCGAGTATATAAGATCCATCATCGATAGATAAACAATATAGGTGGCTAAGCTTGAGGTCTCCGCATTGTTATCCTTCGACTGGTCTATGAACACTGTGATGCGAACGACCAAATGAAGAATGCACGATATCACAATGGCAAAGTATCTCGTTTGCACGATCGGACACACTCTTATGTAACCGACGCCTTCCTTCAAACAAGCGATCAACATTTTCTATGTTAAAATTTAAAATTTTCTTATGTAAACAAAAACTTAACGTATATTAAAAAAGCAACCGAATTAACTAACTAAAAATCAAAGCAAGGCAAGTTTGATTGTCATGCAAGCATTCTACGATGAGGCACAGAAACTTAAGTCAAAAAGGAAGATCGTAATCAAAGCTTTGACTATCTTCATATGATGTGAATAGGAAATTCAAGCAGCTAACTGGCTTAAATCAAAGAGGCTTAAATCTGAGGTAACTGTATTCAATTTGGAACACTTTAATCGGCATTTCTCAACTCATTGGTCGGAGGATTGCCCTAAATCTGTTTAATATATGTGCAAATGCTGTTAATTTATTGGAATGATATGAGATAAAGTCTTTTGACTATGGCTCTATATATTTTAAGCCAATATTAAATATTAATAATATGAAATTTTAATGAAATCTTCCATTAACTCACACAAAGCTGACAGCTCATCTTCCTTGCACTTCAATCAGCCATCAATGAGCATAACAATTTGGTCTGTTTATCTGCTTGGCTAGCTGCATATTCAGCAGGTCGTAGATAAATCCGTTCATCTTTATTAGTCTTTCGATTATTTTATACTTGTGACTCTTGGCATACTTTATTTACCATTTATCCTGAGCAACGTCTGGTTTAGTTGAGCTTTGAGGCGCCCCTTGAGGTGGCTGCTGCATGAAGTTTTTCTATGTTTTTGTGTGGCGACTTGCCGTTGTCGCTGCCACTTGACAAGAAAGGAGACGGCACTGGATTCACTGCCACTTGATGTCGCATAAATTTGTGTCTCCTTCGGCTGTTGCAGTCTGCGTAATGCAGGCTGAAGCAATGGCTTATGTCCTGTCTCGTCTGCTATCCTTGCACAGTGACAGGCCAAGCAGCTCCGCGCTGCTCAAATTTATTTACATTCTTATTTATTTTGCCACTTTGCAATGATTTTGAGCTGCTCCAGCTTCAGCTTCAGCTCCAGCTCCAGCTCTCCATCAACTGGCGTCTACCAACATTGCTCAGGACATTGTTGTTAGACTGCGAGTGGCTCTGCTGAGGGGCAATTTTGCAGGACGTGAGAATGAAAACAGTTTATGCATTTCATTATTAGCTCAAGTGTTTTAGATATATTTGAATAAGGATTTTATAAAAATATGTACCCAACAGAGCATAAAATTTGAAGAACTTTATTCAAATCTGTTTTAGCTCAACTCATTCTAATTGGCCAGCTAGAAGCGCCCTATCAATCTAATCTAATCTAATATCAAATATCACAAACGTCCTTTAACTTCAAGACAATTTGATGAGTGAAAACATGTTTCGAGGCGACAATTGTTAGCCAGTTTGCTACATCGAATTATTGCACATTTGAGCAAGTTGTTGCCAAATGTATTGCCTTTTGCAGAATTGGAATTGGTATAGAATGCTGTCAGATTCAATAAACCAGAGGAACACATGTTTCATGGACTTGGCTAGGACAGGGAGCGCCTCCTGCTACAGCCCCAACTGCTCCAGTCTCCTGCTCCAGTCTCATGCTGCAACTCCCCCAGTTGGAGACAACATGCGAGTAATACTCGTATTTTAACGACTTTCAGCATCAGCGACGTGTGTCCTGTTGGCGGCAGGCGACAGATTTTTCTAATGTCTCCATTCGGAATCCTTTTGGCCATGCAATTAAGCGTACGCCCATTGGCGCGGCTAACGGCAAAGGATAATTGTTTTTAGCGTGCGCAAATGGCAAATGAAAGAAGAAGTGTCATAAATTCAACGGCAAACACGATACCAAATGAATTATGCCTTATGATTATTAGACAAAAAGGACATCAAGGATGCTGCCATGCAATTATTAACATTTGTGTCTGTGCCAGCGCCAGGCCAACATCAGTCGAGGTCGTCTTCGGCCGACCTGACACACATAACACCTTGACAGGGAGGCAGCAGCGGCGACTTGGGGCAAGGGTAGTGTGAAGAACACATGTGCAATTGCCGCTTGCCTTAATGGGTCATAAATAACCAGGACAACAATGAGGCGGCTGCAACGCGTCCTCCGCAGCGGCGTTTTTTCTCTCTTTTGCTAGGACACATAAAATTATTGCACGTCGACGTGCAGCCAATCGCTGTGCGTGTGTGTGCGCGAGTGTGTGCCTATGTGTGCCTGTGTGTGTGCGTGTGTGTGTGACTGCATGTCCTTCGTAATTCATCAACGTGTGGCATGCGCTGTGGCTTAGGGGTGGCAGCGCGCTGTCCTTGCACGCCAACATCGCGCGTCTGTCCACAATAGTTTCTGCCCCGCACACGACTCGTTGGAGAATTGTGAAAATTTGTGGAAATGCGAAAATGAAACTGAAAATGAAAATGCGACGGCCGCATTTTGATTTATTGTCAAATTGAGAAGCACACATAAAATGCTGCCAATAAAATGTTTCACTGCGCCCTCCCCCGCCTCCTGCCAGACAGGCAGCCGAAAAGGATAATGCTTTGCCTTTCGTTTGTTTTTAATTGAAAATAAATCTTGTCAATTTGCGTCGCGACCAGACACAGCCCGCTGCCCGCTGTCCGCTCCCGATCCCCAGCTCAGATCCTGTCACTACTTTACTTTATTTGCTTTGCTGTCTGATTTTTTGTTTTGGTTTTGTTGCTCAAATTGTAAATTACTTCCGCGACCTTTGTGAAGTATCCCTTTTGGATGCGGCCAAAGGTGTTTTGCACATTTTATTCAGCATAATGCGAGTCCTTTTTTATGACAGCAGCCGGCAAACACAGCACAAAAAACGCACAATAAAATGTGTGTGCAGATCCTTTGGCTATGGTCAAACGGCGTCGAGCATCCGCCAGCCTTTCGCCGAGTCCTTTTTGCACAGCCCAAATCTACATATAAATAAACATTAAAATATTTGCCAAGCAACAATAAAAAAACGAAGCTGAATAAAATCATGAAAAACTTTTGGCTGAATCCATTCGAGTCCATTCTCAATATGAAAAACTGCGTCAAAAACTCGAGCCCTGCGAGTAACCAAATCCAAAACATGCGAAATATAACTTCAATGACGAAAAAATAATTTAAAATTAATAATATTTTTAATTAACTAATATTTATCAAATTGTGTTTAAAGTGTGTCTAGGCTTCGATGTGATGTAAGCCAAATTCAACCTTCATTTGTTATGCTTCTTCTTGCGCTTTATTTACCTATTTTTTTTGTTCAATAAAGCAACGGAAACTCGAAAAAATTATGTGCATTTCTTTCCGTGTTTTGTGACTCTTCTCCAACTTTTGCCAAAGAATCGCCCTTTATATTATAACACAGCTTTTGTTCACTTTTTTGAAGGATATAAACAACTTAATAAAGGCATGAATTGATAGAGCAATGTGAATGAATAATAAAATTAAGAAAAGAATAAAAGAAATCGTAAGTTGTTTAAAGTTTGCAATTGTTCATCAGCTTAAACCCCTCGATCTGAATAATGTTTTGTCTATCGCACCAGAGATGCTTATAATGTTGCTGTTAGCCATTGTGATGGCCATGGTCATCGAAGGAAGCTAAAACTCGCATTTGGCGAGCTTTCGATTCTTTTCTTTATCGTCTCAAGGCCAAGGTCTTCCTATATTGATTCAATACATTCAGTTTCAAGTTAATAAAAGTCAATTACCAAAATGAATTTATTGCCCTTTAAATAGGCTACATATAGCCGGAGTGGAAGGCTACATATCGACTAGCATAAAAGAAATATTGATATATTTACTTATTTGACTGCAAGCGAATAACCTTTAAAGATTTGTTTCTGACTGTTTGTGATTTGTGAATTTTGCTGAGAATTGGGTATTTTTTGTCTTTCAATAATTCTGATAAACTTGGTGAATACCACATGATCTATAAATATTCCTATTTTTTGTTCTCTTTTTAGTTTCTTAACCCATTCAAAATGGGGAATAGGCCTAATGGTATTGTTGAAATGCTTTTAACAGGCAGAAAGAGACGTGGCAGACCCCCTAAAGTATATGTTTTTGAGCAGGGCGACTAGCTGAGTCGATTAAGCTGTGTCTGTCTGTCTGTCCGGCGTAAGTGCTGTACTTACATATATATGAAGTATGTATGTATAGCATACATATTCCCGATCAGAATGACAAGTTCTGTGTATATAGCTAGCTCTGTCTGCTCGTATTTACGTCAGCTTCAAACTCAATTCTCACTCAAAAAGGGCTCAGCCGATCTGCTAGAGCTGCTTTTTGAGTGACTTTTGGGTATAAAAGGCGCAGCAGAGGCTGTGGGCGATCAGTCAAGTTCATAACCTGGACTAGGTCTCAGTGCGGTTCAGTGCAAATCGTGAATATACCTAAGTTTTATTGCTAAGTTGTTTACGTTTAAATAATTTGTTTTTCTTTAATAAATATTGTATTTGCTTAAATAAATATATTTAAGGTTTTTTGTTTAATAATTATTAAAATATATATTTAAGTTTTTCTTGTATATATAAATATTAGCTTTTAATTATTATTAATAAATACCAATTGTTGTTATAATAATGAAGTTCGATAATGATTACTCGCAGTAATGATCATTTATGTTCATGATTATTATTGGTAATCACCATTATATTAGATATTTACAAAAGCACATACATGTGTTTACATTTATATTTAAAAAATGTTTAACAACAAGAATATATAAATGTATTAAACATATAAATATATTTAATATATTAAATAACAATAACATTTACAAATGTTTGCTATATCATCTATTTATATAATTTTATAAAATAAATATTTATGAAAATTTTCTCTCTTTAAAAATAGAACAAATAAAAAAAAGTAAAACGTCAGTAAAAAATAATATAATATAATAATATAATAATATAATAATATAATAATACCATAATACCTATATTTACTATATACCTATATGTCCTTTAAGAATTATTTATTTATTTGGTGGAGCTGATGAGCGATTGCTTTATAAAAGAAAGCTATTTGGCCTTTCCCGTCTTATCCTGTCTCTC